CATTACATGATCATTATCCAAACACGTAATAAAAATTAATTTGATACATTTTTTTGATCAATTTTATATAATTTTATCTTTAGTGGATAGAAATAATTTTTAAGAATTCAAAATTATTTTTTTGACATTCATTTTTGTCAAATTAGTTTATATTTTATCAAATTGACGATTTTATTCTTGAAATTGAGTAATGGTATCTTCAATTGTTCTTATTTAGAATAAGATTCAAATTTTAAAATCAAATATATTATAATTGAAAAATTAAAAATCAAAGTGATACCGAGGCTAAACTATAAGAATCGCTAATATAATTTACTTTTAAAATAAAAATAACAATGACTAACCTATCTATACTATATATTAAGCAGAAGGAGATTTTTAACCCTCAAGGCCTGTGGGAGCTTCAATATATCAATCTTAATTTTCTAATTTCATGATTTAAAAAAAAAATAACCTCAGTATTTATTGATTTTTCCCAACTCACAAACCTTTTTGAATTCTCTCATAGTTATTGCAGCACCCTTTTCAACTACTCCCATACACTATGGTTAGCGATGAAATTGTTAAATTATTTTTATAAAAAATCTAAAAAAAATAATTTGTATATTAAAAAAAATCCAAAACAAATATAAATATTTATATTTATATCTATACTATATATTAAGCAAAAGGGGGTTTTTAACCCCCAAGGCCTGTGGGAGCTTTAATATCCCAATCTAAATTTTCTAAATTTTTTATTTAAAAAAAAAATTCAGTATTTATTGATTTAGTCAAAATCTTCTGATCAGCATTTATTAACTTTTTTCAATCCACATGTCTTTCTACATGCCTGCATTTATTGATTTAGTTAAAATCTTCAGATCAGCGTTTATTAACCTTTTTTTAATCTATATGTCTTTCCATTTGCCTGTATTTATTGATTTTGTCAAAATTCTCGATTAACATTTAAAATCTCCACATTCAAATAATTATAGATACAATTCATGCTTAGCTATTACAGTACCTTTTTTAACTTCTCTCATATATTATGGTTAGTGATAAAATTGTTAAATTATTTTTATAAAAACATTTTAAAAATATAATTTATATATTAAAAAAAGGGCTTTTTTTTTAAGGTCCCTGGTATTAACATTTTATAGCATAAAGGACACCAAATATTTTCATCATGTCTAAGGTCCCTCAAGTTGTTCTAGAGAAAATTGGTCCAGAGAAAATTGATCCAGAGAAAATTAGTCCATAGAAAATTCACATCACAGAGAAATTTGGTTCAGAGAAATTCTGACTTTCCAGAGAAATTTTACAAATTTCTCTGATTTGAGAAAGGAAGGGAACATTAGAAAATTGATCCAAATAAAATTTCAAATACATGCACTCACATCCGTTGTGGTTCAAGGTAAAGCACAGAGATCAGCAACAACCCTTCCCAATATCAGCAACAACCCACCTTCTCTCTCTCTCAAGTCTCGGAATGTGTTTTAAACAAATTTTTCTGACTTCTGAATTTATCTCCAGAGAAATTCTGAATTTCTCTGGAGATAAATTCAGAAGTCAGAAAAATTTGTTTAAAACACATTCCGAGACTTGAGAGAGAGAGAAGGTGGGTTGTTGCTGATATTGGGAAGGGTTGTTGCTGATCTCTGTGCTTTACCTTGAACCACAACGGATGTAAGTGCATGCATTTGAAATTTTATCTGGATCAATTTTCTAATGTTCCCTTCCTTTCTCAAATCAGAGAAATTTGTAAAATTTCTCTGGGAAGTCAGAATTTCTCTGAACCAAATTTCTCTGTGATGTGAATTTTCTATGGACTAATTTTCTCTGGATCAATTTTCTCTGGACCAATTTTCTCTGGAACAACTTGAGGGACCTTAAACATGATGAAATTAGCTTACCATTTGAACAAGATGATCTTGTTCTCAGTAACAATGTTTCTCAGGAAACAAACAGTGGTACATTACCAATTTTCCAATCACTTTGCCTTAAAAAATGTCTTCTACAAACCCACCAATTTCAAAGAATTCAGACTCTGACTACACCTCTTCGATTCAATGTACACATATACAAAACAAAAATATTTTTATTGGATTTAAGAAACATAAAATGGAATTACCCGAGTCGCATGGAACTGTAATTTGAAAACAAATTTGATCTTGTTCTTCTCGCTCCTCCATAGCGCCGACTTGAACATCTTCTCCTTTAAGCCTCAATTTCACATCGTCTTCATCGAAATTAGGGTTCACCGGAGTTCCGCCGGAAAACCTCTGTAACTTCGGAGCTCCGGCGACGCCTAAATCACCATTTTCACCGTGAGTTTGCTGGTAGGTGAGGCGCTTGATGACACAGTCGAGGTTGAGGCGGTAGCCGCCGGATGGAAGGAATTAGGATTGGCGAAGGTCATCCTCGTAGACGGCGAGAATGAGGCGGCAGATACGGGGACTTCCTCGAACTCCTGAGAATAGAGAAGTTTAGAGAGAGAGAGAGATGAGTTTTGATTTGGTAAGGTCAAATTTCTCTGATATATGTTTAGGGACCTTAGACATCAAAAAATAATTTTGTGGATCTGTTTCATTACGAAAAATGGGAGAGGGATCCTAGACCGATTTTCCCTTAAAAAAATTTAAAATAAAATTAAATATTTATAATTATCCCGTACATAACGCGGGTGATAAACTAGTTATTAATTAATGTAATGATGGCATTGAATTGCTTGACGTGCTTGTTTTTTCTTCCGTCCTTCTAGATGTTCAATTCACCCGTTCTCTAATAGGCTTTAGTACGCGTTCTCTAATAGGCTTAACTTTGAAAATTTTGAGAACTTTTAGGATAAGTTTTTATTTTATTTTATTTTCCAAAAACAAACTAAAATTCACAGGAAACAAATTTCATTATATAAAAAAAAAACTAGTAAAAAAAGATAATTCCAACTAAAGCCTCAATCAGCAATCACTTTATCAAAGGTCATTGAAATAAAGAGAGCTTCTATATTTCATCAGAATCTTTTATCGAAAAAAATTATTTTTACTTGACATGGTAGATTCTATTTTTTCCCAAAATATAAAGAGTCTTATATACACATAAAATTGCTGAGATAAATAAAATGATGAAATAACTATTATAATAATAATCAGTGTGTTTGATTTTAGTTTTTTTAATTTAAGTTTTTAAAAATTGAGTTTTTTATTTTTCGTATTTTTTATTTTTAGTGAATATTTTTAAAATTTTAAGTAATTTTAATGTAGCTTAATTAGATGTATCTAAATAGTAAAATATTTGTGAAAAATATTTAAAAAAATAATAAATACACAAAAATATGAAAAATATACTAAACTAATTATATATATATTTTGTATTTTTAGCATTTAGTGAATTTTTTAAAGATTTTTCACAAATATTATACTTTTTAAGTGTATTTATGTTAAGTGTGTCTAAAAATTAAAAAAATTACTTAAAATATTAAAAAAATTAAGTGAAAATAAAAAAAAATACGGAAAGTGAAGAAGTAAAACTTTTTAAAAAATGAATTTTGAAAACTAAAACCAAAGAGAGTGAATATTTTTATCAATGCTGCCACATCCCCTAACTGTGACTCCTTAATTCTACCCTCAATGCTAAGATGAAGTGGTCTTATATTCCTCTCTCTCATCTTTAGTCTCATAATTTTATATCATTAAGGATGAAATTGAGGGAATAAAATCAGAGAATGAATTATTTTTGGGGAAATTACATTCACCTCCCTGAGGTTTTTGACAAATATAATAACCTCTCTTGCTTTATCTGACAATGTCAAGATTTTCCCTTCTGTCAAATTGTTCCGAACGGTATTAACTTTTTATATATTAAATTACCTTATTATCCTTCCTTTTGAAATATTAAAAAATGTTTTTAGATTAGAGGATAGGTATGGAAAAACAAACAGTGTTTGGAACAGTATTTTTGGATTTATTTTTTAAAAATATTAAAAAATATTTAAAAAAATTATTATTATTATTTTAAATATATAATTTTTATTTAAATATTTTTAAATATTTGATTTTATTTTTTAAAATTTTAATATTTTAAACTCAAAACACAACTTCACACTCAAATCATAACTAAACATATAACTCAAAACTCAATTAAAAAATTATTTTTAAATCTCATAACCAAACACATAATTCGACACTCCACACTACTTTCAAAATTCTACACTCAATTGTAACCAAACGGATAACAAAAAAATTAAAATATTTAAAAATATATTTGTAACGCCCTAAAAAAAAAGACATAAGTCATTCATTCATAAGATCCATAAAACATAAAATAAAATAAAATATTTAAATAAAAATTATATATTTAAAATAAAAAAATAATTTTTTAAAAACATTTTTTAATATTTTTAAAAAATAAATCCAAAAATACTGTTCCAAACACTGTTTGTGTCTTCCATACTTATCCTCCAATCCAAAAACATTTTTTAATATTTTAAAAGGAAGGGCAATAAGGTAATTTACTATAAAAAAAGTTAACACCGTTTGGAATAATTTGACAGAATGAGAGAATCTTGACATTGTCAGGTAAAACAGAGGAGATTATTGTAATTATTTAAACCACAAGAGAGGTTCCTGTATTTGTCAGAAACCTCAGGGAAGGTAAATGTAATTTACCCATTATTTTTCTATTACTTCACATGAGTCTTAGCCATGTTATTGGATTGGAATTAAGAGGCCTTAATTAAGAGATGTAGTAGGACAATTTTATAAAATTAAAAGGAAAATTTTAAATATACATAAAATTCATATAAAAAATTTGAAAAGAATAATATGACATTATCATTATTATAAATAAATTTATCTTCAACAATATCTTATCTTGAAATGAAAAATTCACAATAAATCACCTTATGTATGAATTTTTATTTTTATTTTTATTTATATAACATTACTCAAAAAAAAAAAAAAAAATTCAAATATTCAAATACCAAACAGACATACAATATAAATATAGGAAATTAAGAACCGTAACCGTCGCTGTCGCGTGCGCCTGTTCTTTCCCTCCATTTCTCAACCCCGTGTCCTCTTCTCTCTCTCTCTCTCTCTCCGACCGGCGTTTCGACTCTTCTCTCCCCGCTCTCTCTCTCTCTCTCTCTCTCTCTCTCAATTTCTCGTTCTTCACTCTCCTCAGATCCAATTCCTCTTTCTCCTCCTTTTCTTCCAGATTTGTCTTTCATTTCTTCACGTAAGGTATGATATCTTTTCCCCTGTTATTTTTGCCTTTTATATATGTTTAATTTATCTTGATAGTATTCACCCAAAAAAATTAATCTTGATTATGATTTGATATTTTGTACTGTATGTTCAACTTTGCGTTCCATAATTTGAATTTCATAATTTTATTTATTTATTTTATTTTTGGTTTCGTTGTCATGTCATGTGGTTTTGTTGATTATGTTTGTCTCAATCCATTAAAGTTTGTTCCAGCTGGTTTCCACTGGAAAGAAGACAAATCGAAGGTTGATGATTGATGTAATCAATTATTCTTTTTATAAACCCGAGAATTCGGCTGATTATCTGTTTGGCTTGTGAGAAAAGATGGGAAAATAAAAACGATTTTAATTCCTAAATTGTTTATAAACTTACTCATCCACTTGAATGTGCCAAAAAACACCGTTTTTTGTGGGTTTATTTTGTCTTTTTAGTTGTAGAGAGAGACCAATACAACAACTTATTTTTGTTTTTTCTGGAGTAATATTGGCAACTAACCAGGGATCATGATCATTGGCCAAAATTATTGTGATTTTCACCATAAAAATACACGTGAGCGAAAGACAAAATCTAATGGTTAAGTTTAAAATTAAAATAAAATGGCATTAAAATACTGTATTTTTGTTTTAAAATTGCATATCTTAAATTGACTTTGTTTTACTTCAACTTTAAATTTGGACACTTGAATTACCACAACAAAATTATTGCAGAAAGAAAAATAATAGAGGACCCTAATTCATTATTCAAGTAGCCAAAACATGCCTAGTTGCGTAACATGAATCATATGACTTTTTTTTTTTTTTTTGTATTGGGTTATATATTTTAGGTCTTGCCTGGTGTGGAGCAATGAAACATTGGAAAGCATGGGATGGCATTGTTAATTTGTTAGGCTACTAATTGGAGTGAGTTCTTCTAATTTTTTAAGCTTTGTTTCTTTTGGGTAGGTAATGAAGATAAGCTCATGATTATAGCCACTGGGACTTGTTTTATATTGCAATTCTTGATTTGGAAGGTTGGAATTTTCTAGTACAAGCAAGTACTCTGATTGGAGAATGCGAGATGAATAATTTGTTGAAGCAGATCATTATAATCCTGATGTTCAGGATTGATTGGAGAAAACTGCTTTTGGTTGGTTCCATAATTACAATAGCTGGTGTTGTAGTTCAAATTTATACACTTCCTTTTCCACTGACCATATGGATCCTCTCTCCACCAGAAACCCGTCTGGTATACAAATCCTTGAATACTAACATGCATTTGAGCAAAGAGACTCCCTTGGCGAGGTTTGAAGAGTTTGAAAACCATCCAGCTGATCCTGGTGGTTCCATGAATACTTCTACAAACTTAAATCAGTCGGCATCAATTGTGAAAGATGAAGCTAAAGCCACTCGGCAGAGAGCTCGCTTAGAGAGAAGGCGAATGAGGATTATGAAGCAAAAGAATCCTTCTCCTCCTCCTCCTCCCCCTCATAGACCCTTGCCCCTTCACTTGTTGGTAAGATTGCCGAGGTTCTAATTGTATTACAGGAAACTCTTACCTAGTGAATTATTTATTTTTTATTTTTTGGTGTTGAATTTCATTTTTAACTTTGTAGAGACATATACGGTCATTGACATCTGATGAGGTGCTTGTGTATGCTAAGAAAGAGATGGAGAACATCTCATCTGTCCTCAACGATCCAGATCCAGATCTCTACGCCCCTTTATTCCGAAATGTTTCTATTTTTGACAGGTATATATCATTTGCTCTTGTATGGTTTATTGTTTATATGGTTACTATTGTTCTTTATGACAAATTAATTGGCTAACCTAAGAAGTACGGACACTTTTAAAAAGGTATCGTGTCCGTGTTGGACACCAACACTTGTCGGACACTTTCCCGACATCTATCCGACACTCATCCAAACATGTCCTATTTTTTTAAAAAGAATTTAGACTCAGACACTCTTTGGATACTTGGAGGACAAACATGTCCATTGATGAGACAAACAAAACTAATTATAAGTTTAAACAAAATAACTTAGAATAGATGATAAAAGAAAAAATAATGTCAAATTATAAAAATCAGTGTTATATTACATTTATTTATTGTTTTAGAATGATATATTCATATATATGACATATAATAAATATATAAACTTTTATATTTTGTGTGTGTCCCCAGGTCTAAAAAGGTGCCGTGTCGTGTCACTTGTCTCTATCTGTCTTTCATAGTGGCTAACCATGTATATATTTGTTGTTGGAGACAAGCTTGGACAATTAATAAAGTAAGTACTTGCCTGAAATGTAAATTGTAACGTTTATATAATGTTCTGGAGGCGAGTGGAGATTTGGATGCATAATTGGGATGTTTAAATTGTTATCCTAGTCCCGCAATTAAAATTACTGCTTGAAAAATAGAAGGAACTCTTAAGGCTCGACATTCAATATACCATTACTTATATGCTAATTTTGCCTCTTCATAATTATGAAAGGCATATATAATTTTTGTTTCTTTTTGACAGACATTAACAGAATATCTGTTGAAGTTGAAGGACATTATTTGATCTTTTACAAGTTCATTGAGCTTACTTATTATAAAGATTTTACAGAGTTGGGAAAGAAAAAAAATGGGATTATGTTGTCCAATAGATTCTTTTATTAAGCAGCACCGATAGTCTGGGTTGGCCAAAAAAAAAAAAAGGTGATATTAAATTTAGCTCATTTTGTCTAAAAACTTTAAACACCTACTGACTACATACATGCAATCATAGACACCAGATATAGCATAATTATTATGTTTGAAATTATAAATATTACTAAATTCCAGGAGCTATGAGCTGATGGAAGTCATACTCAAAGTTTACATTTACAAAGATGGAGCGAAACCTATTTTCCATGAACCCCATCTCCAAGGAATTTATTCATCTGAAGGATGGTTTATGAAGTTAATGGAGGAAAACAAGCAATTCGTCACCAGGGACCCTGAAAAGGCTCACTTATTCTATCTGCCATACAGTGCACGCCAGCTGCAGATGGCTCTTTATGTGCCTGGCTCACATAATATAAGACGACTATCAATCTTCCTGAGGGATCATGTGAACATGCTTGCTGCAAAGTACCCTTTTTGGAACAGGACTCATGGATCAGATCATTTCCTAGTTGCTTGCCACGATTGGGTGGGTAGTTTGATTTTTGTAATGCTTCAGTTGTGCACCTCCTATCATTTCAAATGCTTAGACATTACTGATTTAATTGTGCATTTCCTATCCTTTTAAAATCCTAGGTGTGACCAATTTGATTTTATTAACGTGGATAACTGTTGACAGTTGAGGGGAGTAATTTTCTTTAATTCATGGTTGCATTAGTTACAGGGTTGAATATGCTTGTTAAATTTTTGGAAAGCAATACTTTGATACTGTTGTTAGTTTTACTCCAAGGGCCATGGGATTGGATTAGTAATCCCATGGGTCCTACATAAATTGTATTGGTTAGGAACAAAAGGCTTAGGACTAATAGTCCCTTGGGATTATTAATACTCTGCAAGGATGGGATTAACAATCCCATGAGGGAGGTGGGATTGTGATTCGAATCCCATAGGATTGGAGAATTGGAGGGGAAAAGACAATTTTGCCCTCCATTTTACAAAGATAACAAAGTTATATTTTAAATAGAAGGACTTTTACGTAATTTTATATTTTTAGTCCCTACCAACTAATATCACCACACTAGTACACAAACAAACACAATTTTTATTAATCCCCTCACTAATAATCCTCACACTAACAATTCCATCCGATCTAACTCTAAAAACAAACGGGCAACAGATTTGCTCTAATGCTTTTTAAAACTTAAAAAATCAAATTTGCTCAAAACTGATCAGAGAGTAGTCAATGAAACCAGTGAATATGATGCTGATGACCAGCAATCAAGTCAGTGTGTGGAATTCATTGTTATGATATAGAACGACAAAAGTGATGCCTACTTAATAATCCCATCCAACCTAACTCTAAAAACAAACAGGCAACAGATTTGCTCTAATGCTTTTTAAAACTTAAAAAATCAAATTTGCTCAAAATTGATCAGAGAGTAGTCAACAAAACCAGTGAATATGATGCTGATGACCAGCAATCAAGTCAGTGTGTGGAATTCATTGTTACAATATAGAACGACAAAAGTGATGCCTATTTAACATATTGGAACATGAGATAAGAAGAAAATTTAGTTGAAGAATACCTTAGAGGATTACCTAGATTTGTGGCATGTATAAATTGGGTTTTTATTGAAGGAGCTGACTTCTTTAATTGGTCAGTCTATGGCTGTACTAGGCTTTGCTTTTTCCAAAGTTACCAGCCATCTCAAATATTCACCTAGTGAACTGTCAGTCCATTTGGGATTAAAACTAAGGTAGTGTTTGGTTCATTGAAATGAATTGAAATTAAATAATTATTCCATCAAAATATTCATTCTCATTAGTGTTGTGAATCAAACATGGCCTAGAGGATTACCTAGATTTGTGGCATGTATAAATTGGGTTTTTATTGAAGGAGCTGACTTCTTTAATTGGTCAGTCTATGACTGTACTAGGCTTTGCTTTTTCCAAAGTTACCAGCCATCTCAAATATTCACCTAGTGAACTGTCAGTCCATTTGGGATTAAAACTAAGGTAGTGTTTGGTTCATTGAAATGAATTGAAATTAAATAATTATTCCATCAAAATATTCATTCTCATGTTTGGTTAGACTGAAAAAATAATGACAAATACATTACAAATGAAATCATCTTTCACCATTTTAAGGGAATGGTCATCCATAAGAAAGACTAAGGAATCATCATTCCATTCCATTCCCTCTGATTCCAATGAACCAAATAGAGCATAAGAGTAACGACTAAGAATTGCAGTCCATAGGTGCATGAGACACAGAGAGAGAGAGAGAGATTTAAATCAATCCCATTTTGGATTTTCGGCTTGTTCCTTTCTATTCTCATTGAATTTCAGTTTGTTCAGCTCCCATTCCCAGTTACCTAACTTTCATCTCTTCTATCTCACATTTTTTAGGGCTCTTATACACTGACAGAGCATGAGGAGTTAACACAAAACACTATAAAAGTTCTCTGCAATGCCGATGTGTCTGAAGGAATCTTCAAAGCTGGAAAGGATGTTTCGCTGCCAGAAACCACCATAAGGAATCCGAAAAGACCTCTTAGAGGTCTCGGAGGGAAACGAGTGTCACAGCGCCCACTTCTTGCCTTTTTTGCCGGAAACATGCATGGTAGGGTCCGTCCAACGCTTCTCAAGTATTGGGGTGACAAAGATGATGATATGAGGATTTATGGGCCTCTACCCAATAGAGTCTCTCGAAATATGTCCTATGTTGAACACATGAAATCGAGCAAATATTGCCTCTGTCCAATGGGTTATGAAGTGAACAGCCCCAGGATTGTTGAGGCAATATATTATGAGTGTGTTCCAGTGATAATTGCTGATAATTTTGTCCCTCCATTAAATGATGTTTTAGATTGGAGTGCTTTTTCTGTGATTGTGGACGAGAAGGATATTCCCAAACTTAAGGAGATTTTATCGGCTATTCCTTTGAGACGATATCTTAAGATGCAAATTAATGTGAAAATGCTGCAGAAGCACTTCCGTTGGAATGCAAGACCAATCAGATTCGATATGTTCCACATGATTTTGCATTCGATTTGGCATTCCAGGCTGAACCAGATTCAAATAACGCAGTCATTGTGAACTCTTGGGAATTCCATTTTGTGGGTTTTAACTTCTAGTCCTTTAGATGATTTTGAATGTCAGCCAAATAGAGTATGACTTGCATTGGCAACACCTATTCCATGAATTGAGAGGCCTACCTTGTCGTGGTTATGGAATATGGGACACCATCTGTGGGTTTTCGGGCTTTGGAGATCAAAATGCGCTGAACTGAGACAGGGTTGAATGTCTGATGATTCGTGACAGCCACAATGAGGAATGTGATGCAGGTATTCCTAAATTGCTGGTTTTAATTTCCATTTATTTATTTATTTTTGTAATTGCTTACCGTTGTCACCGTCAACACAATTTATTACTATATGCCCTAATATATATAAAAAATAAAAAATAAAAAATAAAAAAAAAGAAGAAAAGAAAAAGAAAAAAGAAAAAAGAGTAGGGAGTCTAGTATTCAACTTGACATTGAAATGACAATGAAAGAAATGTTGACAAAAAGTGTCTTGTTTTTTCAGGGGCTCCACTCCAGTCATGTTCCTCAAATGCAGGTATGACAAGAAGGTTCAGTATTTTGATTTTAGAACATGTTAGATGCAAAGAAGGCCACACTGTTTATGAAATCAAGTTATTTTGTATCATTATAGGATGTACAGAGAGACAGTGTAAAAAAAGAAAAGAAAAAGAAAAAGAAGCAAGTTTATATGTACCAAATTATATTTTCACGGCTGCTTGTAAAAGGCATAGGCAGCATTTACTTAGACACCAACAAAACCAAAAAAGTGGGGAAAAAAAGAGGCAGGAAAGAAAGAGAGAAAGAGAGAGAGAAAGAAGGAAAATACACTTGATTTCGGTCCTTTTTCAACAATGTAAACTTTCTTTTATTTATAAAATGATTTGGAGAACCAGATTGTAATCTCATTGTTGGTATATATGTATTTTAATTTGAGTTTTTGACTTGCCTTGTGAACGGTTTTTCCGACTCATACAGCCTATGCAGGAATATTCTTTTCAAAGAATTTTACTCTTGCTTTTTGTGATGGCCATGTCCATTAACTCAAGACAAGCTCTGGATGTAAGTTCGCTAGCACACCATTTCAGGTAATCCTCCGTATGCTGATGCTCTTTTTTGGTTGTTTAGAATTACTCTAGTTTGCCATGATGGCACAAAAAATAAAAAATAAAACAAAATAAAAATTAATTTTAAATATTTTTTGTATTTTTGTTGGGTCCCTAGGGGGGGTCTGGCCTGTGAATCAAGTGGCCCAAAGTCAGTCAAATCTTGTTCAGAATTTATTAATCCACACAACAACCAGTGGATTAATGGTTGGTACCTACAAGGACAAATCAAAGCTACTGCTTTAGCCTTTATTTTTAGGACTATTTTGGAGAGATGATTATAATCAACTTTTTGATTAAAAACTGTTTATAAACAGTTTTTTTGTGAAAGAGGAAGTGAATTATAATCTAGAAAGTGGATTATCACCCACTTCCCAAAGGGCCTTAGTCCCACTTTGGTGTTCATTTGGTTGGGACTCTCAAGCACTCAACAGTTGCTGCTCTGTAATTCTCTACAACATTATTCTCTTTTGACTTCTGGGTAGTCTCTTGTTGACCTGGGAATATTCATTGCCAAACTGTAAGTCAATTTAGTTGTCTTAAATGAGTAATTATTTGTTAAAGGTTATATTTGGATTTTAAATTTGGAAAGTGAAAATATGTAAAAAGAAAGAGGATTTTTTTTTTAAGGTCTCTGGTATTAAGATTTTATAGTGCAAAGGACACCAAATATTTCCATAATGTCTAAGGTCCCTCAATTTGATCTAGAGAAATTTCATCTAGAGAATTTCTCTGGACTTCCCAGAGAAATTTCTCTCCAGAGAAATTCCCATCCAGAGAAATTTCATCCAGAGAAATTTCTTCCCAGAATTTCTCTGGACCTCTGAATGTGAACATGGTAAGAATGCAAGCATCAAACAACACTGACTTGCTTCTATTTCCCCTAACAGCAACATGTTTAACTATTGTATCAACATCAAGGATACTTCTGCAGGCATGTTTGTGCGCTTCATCCCATCATGTTTTCTCTTTTCAACATCATTTCTTGAGGCAAAGTATATCCATGCATGATTTGTAGCTGGAGAAATATTTTTCAACAGGGAACATTGATATTGTTTTGTGGAAGTTTGAGACCACCAAATACTACTGCATTGTCATTGATGCTCCTGGCCATCGTGATTTCATCAACTCCACCATTGGTAGTTTTGAAGTCGGTATTTCAAAGGATGGTCCGACGTCTGAGCAACATGCTTTGCTTGCCTTCACTCTTGGTGTTAAGCAAATTATGAGAATTTCTCTGGCCTTTTCCAGAAAAATTCTCTCCAGAGAAATTCCTGAATTTCTCTGAATGAGAATTTCTCTAAAGAGAATAAGAGATGAAATCGAACTGCTTGAAGATTAGTGAGATGACGTAGAGATCAAGTAGAGAGAGAGAGAGAGAGAGAGAGAGAGAGATGAACTTGAGCTGTGAGGAACTCATATTCATCTTCTCTGTATATTGGATGAGTCACATTATCTAAAACCCAATCTCCTTTGAAGAGGGGTTCAAACCAGAGAAAATTACACATGACAGAGAAAATTAAACACGGCATCTAGGAAGGTCAGAGAAATTTTGGATTCCAATCTAGAGATTTTCTCTGGATTTTCAGAGAATTTCTCTGGATTTTCTCTGAATTTTCTTTGGATTTCAAGTGAACTATAAAGCATAAAGTTTGTTTGGTTGCCAAGAAAAATAAGTGAAAAATAATTTTCATCCACAACATACTATGCTAATTGATGATAAGTACCAAGTTAAACCACATCTATTCCCCTTTTCAAGCACAGTATTGTATCTTCATCATCTCAGAGAAATTCCCAGACAAACATTTCCAGAGATTCTCTCACCCAAAAAATTTCTCTGGACTCCACAACCCAGAGAAAATTCCCAGACAAATATTTCAAGAGAAATTCTCTCAACCCAAAGAATTTCTCTGAACTCTACAACTCAGAGAAAATCCCAGACAAACCTTTCCATATTGCTAGCACTTGTATTTGAACCCACACACTTTGCTGAGCCTGATCCATCTTATTGATCACCACCTCATCTTCACATATTCATCATATATACACAATTATATATATATATATATATATTATTCCTGTAATTCATCAATCTTAAAGACCATTTTTGTGAAATTGATTCAATTTTCGGTGTTATGCTCCAACTTTGCTTCGAAATTTTTGCGAATTTCGTCCAGGTGAGGGACAATTTCTATACTTACATACATATACATAGGTATATAAGTTGGAAGGTCGGCGAAGACGGTGCTGATTGGTGAGCTGGTATGGTGTCGGTGTGAGCCAATAGCGACTTGGGTTTCGGTGTCGGTGTGTTCGGAGTTGCTGCGATGGGCGGTGTGCAAACGATGGTGATCCTCGGCAGCGGTGGGAGATAGACGAAGCACTGGTTTGATGTAGGAGAGAGAGAGAGAGAGAGAGAGAGAGAGAGTCAAATTTCTCTGATATATGTTTAGGGACCTTAGACATAAAAAAATAATTTTGTGGATCTCTTTCATTACTAAAAATGGGAGAGGAATCTTAGACTAATTTTTCCAAAAAGAAAATGAAAATTAAACTTTTTTATTTTACGATAAATCTTATTGGAAATCTATTAACCCATTTGGTCATACTTATAATGAATTTCAAGAATCTTTTTAAATGTTAACAATTTTTAATAGTTCTTTTCACCCTACATTTAAATGGTGTGTACATTAAATTTACTGTAAACATGAAAGTTTCTTCTTATTGTATTTTATTTTTGTCTTTTTTTTTTTTGGTGAGGATTTATTGAATAAGCTTCCCTTCGTATTTTCATCTCTGTGTAATGAATCACATGATTACATATTAGTTAAATAGGTCAGTGTCGGCTAGATGAAGGAAGGAGTGATTAAAGACCATTCAAATAGCTTTTGGTTCAAGTTGAGCTCCAAGAAATTGAACCCACATCTTACATGATTAAAAAAATTTCACAGAAAATTGTTCTGACTGTAGTGTGACAACATTGCATTTATTTTGTTAATTGGCACGTTTGGTGTTTCTTTATCTTTTTTTAAGTTGAAAGTTAACAATTTGAAAGTAGACTCCCTCCCCAATTTCTAGATTAATCTGTTTGTTTTTTTCAGTTTACTAGTACTTTTACCTTGTAAGCTAGCTATAAGCAGATGTTCCTAAAATTCCAGAAAAAATAAAGTTATAAATAACTTTAATAAACTGCACCAATCAAGTATAATATGTGGACTTCATTTAAAATTTCAGAACAATGCCAACACAACACAGAAAGCATAAAACCCCGGAAAAACTATTCAGCAAGTCAACCAGCATTGATGTATGGCTTACATCAAATTATTAAATAACGGGACTCACAGAACAATGAAAGGGGAAATAACAATCCAGTCGTGTCAGAAAAACACAATTACAAAATCATGAAAAAATGTGTATAAAAATGCTATTATTAGGTTTTGTAATTAGCAATTTTGCTTGACAAAATTCTTTTCAATTATAATTTTTTTTGATCTTTTATTTTAGTAAAGTTAAAAAAAATTTAAATGCGAATCTAACCCGAATTGTGCCTATGTAGAAAAGTTTGTGATTTTAATCATTTCATGTTTGCTACTTCGCTGACTGAGTACGGTCAGCTCGCGAGGGTCCAGGGGGAAACACCCCATGGCAGGTCCAAAGCAGTGCCCAGGTGGGGTTGAGGGGCAGCACCCTCGAAACAAAAAGTAAAAATTTTGACCACTTGAGCAATCATTTGTGCACTCGAGCGAAGAAAATGATCATCTAGTATTTTTGCAAAACGTTTGAACTTTTGGGAAGAAAGTTTTACCACGTGAGCGGTGAAAGTTGCGCTCGAGCGATCAGCCTATATGTTTCGCACCGCCTTTAGTCACACTGTTTGAGCGGTGAAATGTGTGCTCGAGTGGTTTGCGAAATCCTAGTTTCTACAAAGTGTGCTGTTCGCTGTTTTTAAGGTTTGAACTTTTCAAAAAGGAAGAAAAAACAAAGTATTTTATATTGGAAGATACTTCATAAGTGTTTTTTTGATGATTTAAAAGTAATCAATGGATCCATGAACTTTATATTAACATCATCAAGAGGTTTGTTTATTTAGTTTTATTCATAAAAGAGAGAGTTGTTCTTTGGTGGATTTCGGGGAACTTGGGCTTAAAGTTTTGGTGGATTCCAGAGTGGCTTATCGTCGTAGATTCAACATCAGTGTTGTGGATTCAACGTTAGACAAGACAATTTCGAGATGAAGACGGTGGTGGAAGAAACACATTGGGGTCAGTTCAATTCGAGCGTGGATTCATTAGGTAATTGAGAGTATACTTGTGTAATTCTTTTTTGTCTTCTTAGTGGATTATTTTGTGGATTATTTTGTGACTTTGACTCGTGATTTTTTTTTTATTACAATTGGAGACGCTCCGATTGTGATTTTTCCACGTTAAATCGTTATGTCGATTTATATTGAGATAATTATTTATTGTTTAAAAATTAAAACATGATCTCGAGAATTTTTAGATTTTTAACTATACTTTTTCATTGATTTGTAAGAACTTTTCTCCTGCTCCACTGACAGGTAATCCCCCCCAAAATGAATCACATCCATTCATTGCTTTTTCTAGATTAACATTCAGGATACCCGCTTTTCACGACATTATTCTCGTTCAAGTCTATAGAAATTTTGTGGGTCTGTTTTAGGCCTTCTCTTTTTGGCATTGCATAGTCCATTCAACAGTCCCACCTTCATTTGAGACCAAATCAACAAGAAAAGCAATTTATTCAAAATTCCAAGAGAAGATCACACCAACTTCACACACACATTATTACATTTTTAACAAAGATCTTACCATTTATCGGTAAGTGCCTGATCATCATCGAGTTCAAGAAATTTATTAACCCAATCTAACCCGTAGGTACCTCCGGTAGAGAAATCGAAGAATTCATTCACATCAAGCATAAACTCTCCGTCTCCACTTCCTTTGGTGCCTTCTCTTTTGACGTCAGAGTCTGCAGTTTTCTCAGGCGTGCTTTCTTGTTCCGGCGAAGTTGTCGTCATTTTTCCCTTCTGATTTATTTTCCTGCTCAAATGAGAATTCCAATAGTTCTTAATCTCATTATCGGTTCGTCCAGGAAGTCTCCCAGCAATCAAGGACCACCTAAACGAACACAAATTAATGTCAACTTTAATCACGATTAGAACACCTCCGCCAAATATTTTAAATTTGATATGACATTCCAACTAGGCATCAAACATGAACTCCACCCGGTATGCCAAAAGTGTTGGAGTATGGGTAAAGGTAGAGTTCTACATCAGATCAAAAGTAAAAGAGATGTGTCTTCATATACATTAGATGGCCTCTCCACTTATAGATTTAAGTTTTTAAGTGGTTATGTATTCTAAATAATATATGTTGGGCTTTGATATGATATTTGTGGACTCTGGAGTTTCTTCATAACGAATTAGGTCGGTGTTGTTGTGTGTTTGTAGACTCTCTAATTCATTGGCCAATGGTACAAATGGTAGTTTTCGTTGTTAGAGAGTTCAAATTTTAAAAATAATATAATAATAGATTTGACATATCAGGTGGAGAGCTTCCACATGACATATTAAATTAGGCCTTATTTGTCATGACTTAAAAAAGTCATAAGCTCACTATTCTATTTAAGTGACATCATCTTATTTAAGTCATATCACTTCTCTACCACATCACTTCAAACCTAACACATACTCAACCCATATTTCATAAAAAGTTTAAAAGTACATTTATTTAGATCATCCCAAACAACCTCTTAGTTTTCTTTTATTTTAAGGAAGAGAAAAAGTGAGAAGTTAAAAAAATAATTACAAACTCATGATTTAGGATTCGTTTGGGAACATGTTTTTTTAGTAACTTTTTAATTTTTTGGCTAAAATGTGATGTAAAAAAAATAGTATGTTTGGGATGACTTTTTGACTTTTACGAAAAAATATGCAAAAAGTAGAGAGAAAAGGAAATCTTTGACTTTTTAGTTTAGGTTGTTAGTTTTTTGATTTTTTTAAGTGACTTTTTGACTTTTTGACTAAAAAAGTTACTTGTCAAACGAGACCTTAGTGCATAAATTATTTGTACTTTTGCAAGATTGAAATTATTTTTTACTTTCCACTTTTGTGTATGTGGATATTTCTCCTTATTTTAACAATGCTGGCATAGGACTACAGTTTCTTTTATAATCAAACTCAAATTAACTGCTTTATAGTGTTCACAAGTGACTATAATCTTTTTTTTGGACCGAAGTTACTATAATTACTTGCTATTAGAGTTGACTTTTAATTATCTGTCAATATGTACTGAGATTTTGAATTTTTGATAATCGGTTGATACATTACCTGATATCATTATTTAAAATCATAATTACTACTAACCTGTTCCCTAATAGCTTATGAAGCCTAAGTATCAAGTCCTCTTCTTCATCAGTAATGTTGCCTCGCTTGATATTCGGTCTAAGATAATTCAACCATCTCAATCTACAACTCTTCCCGCATCGGTTCAAACCTACAAGATCAATATAAAAAACCCATCAATCCTAAGGAGATCAAAATAAGCAAAATGTGTAGCCCATGAATTGGGTTATGAGAAATGATAAAATTTTCTGCTCATTTTTCTGTATTTTAATTCTGTGCATGTAGTACTGTCGATAACCTGACTTGGTAGCGATAGTCTTCCACTTCTTTGCTCCATGAACTTCAACATACTGAGCCAGCTTTCTATCCTCCTCAGATGTCCATGCTCCTTTATTGTAAACTTTTTTAGCCAGTCCCTCACTGCTCTTCGGAGCCATATCAGAGAGAGAGAGAGAGAGAGAGTAATGGGGAAGTGAGGGAGTGAAGAGAGGCTTAAAAATGAAGGAACGGTGAGTGAAGGGAGGGGGTGTTTGTCAGTTAGGGGGTGGAATGTGACAGTCAATTGTTCTATCTACCTTTCCTTTTGGGAAGAGAGAAAATGAAGAGTGAAAATCAACCCCAGCTACCAGTTATAGAGATTGTGTGCAAGAAAGGGAAGTGGAATAGAACGTATGTTGTGTGTACTCATTGAAAAAAAGAGGTTGGTTATATGTCATTAATAATTTAAATCACTGAATCAACTTGGATCTAAAAGAACATGTGTTTCAATTTGGTAGAAATTGATTTCCAAAAGTATGATTTATATTAGTAGTTTTTTAGTCAACGTGCAATTTTTTTCCTTTTTGCTTCCGAACCAATCCCTTTTCATAGAAAAAGTTTAAAAATACACAGCACTAGATATAGAATAAATCCATAGTCTAAGGCCTAGTTTGAGAACACTAAATAAGTGTACTTTTTGACTTTTTATGAAATATGGGTTGGATTTGGGTTGAGTTTGAAGTGATGTGCCACTAATAGCACTAATGCATTAAAAAAGTTAAAAAAAAAAAAAACACAACTCCAAGACCAAAATATCACATCATTAATGGCAAGACCCACTGCCACCTCATTAGTGGGAGCACTAATTAGTGCTCCCAAACATTTTTCTATAGGATAAATCCATAGTCTAAATATAGCCTGTAGAATTATTGCTTGAAAATTTAACCAAAAAATTAAGTGCATGAATCATATTTATTTAAAAAGTGATCTACATCACACCAAGTTTAAGGGTTAGGTGTCCTAAAAAAATGCACTTTTTGTCTTTTTACGAAAAGATGTGCAGAAAAGTAGAGATGTGATGTGATGGAAAAAAGATAAAAAGATAAAAAGATGAATTATATAGGTTATGCCAAACCAACCCTAAGTTTGCACTAAACATCTTGGTTTATTTTTGAGAGATAAATTTTCAAAAAAAATCTTAGAAAAAGAGTTTAGAAATTTTTTTAGTTTGTTTGATTGTATATTTTGAAAATAATTTTGAAGTACGAGAGTTTGAGATGATATGATATTTTGTTATAGTTGAACAGGTGTATGAGAGAAAAAGTGATTGAGAATAAGAAATGAGAGAGAAAAAATAATTGATTGATTGATGTGTAGGATAAAAAAAGTAATTAATTTCCAATCAAACAAAATTTTAAATTTTCTTTTAAAAAATTATATTTTAAGAGTTAAACCAGACAAGATCTTCATTTCCTAGTTGCTTTTCAAACTATTTTTTAAAACTTCCCAACTTTTTCCCTCTCATAAAGCTGTTAAAAAATAACACTTCAAGTACACAGTTGTTACCACCAAAAAAGAAAACAACCACACACTCATGGGTTTCATGTGAGTATTCTCAATGTTTTTTTTTTTAATTTTTTTTTTTGTGTTATTTAATTTTTTGAACACCTTTTCTTTTTCTTTTTTCTTTAAAATAACTTTTAGGTATTAATTAATTTATTGGGAGATGAATACACCGACAATGTCCACCCAAACAAACATGCCCTTCAAGTACACAGTTGTTACCACCAAAAAAGAAAACAACCACACACTCATGGGTTTCATGTGAGTATTCTCAATGTTTTTTTTTTAAAATTTTTTTTTTGTGTTATTTAATTTTTTGAACACCTTTTCTTTTTCTTTTTTCTTTAAAATAACTTTTAGGTATTAATTAATTTATTGGGAGATGAATACACCGACATTGCGGAGTGCCTCAGTTTCTTGTTGTTTTGACTCTGAATAATAAAAAATAGCATTTCTTTGACCCATTATGTCTACCCATGAAAGACAAATCATGAGAGAAGGGACTCGCAATGTCATTTTTAAAAAGTTCCTTTGTATCGTGTTGTTACTTTTGGAGGACTTCTTTTCTTCTTATTATTATTAATCATTATTATTTTTTTGAGGTGTGTAATTCTGACAGAACAGCATCACTCTAATTTCTCTAAATCCCATTTACATGGGATGTGAAAAAAGAAAATAAAAAAAAATAAAAAAATGACATGAGTATTTCCGATGTATATATTATTTAAATTGAAAATTCTCTTTCGCATAACAATAATAGCAGGAATTGCTTAAATCATAAATTCATGATTTGTAATGTAGGTATTGAATGAAAGTAAATAACCGATAATAATAAATGCACATGCAACGAATATCATTTTGTTTATAAATTTTTTATTTATATAATATTAACTTTATTAGGATTAAAATAGTTATAAAAAGATAAAATAAATTTTTTAACTTTAGGTTAAAAAATATCATATTCAAAGCATAATTATTTAATTATTTAGAGGAAAAATCTTACTACTTAAAAGGAGAATATTAACCATCCTTCAAGGGAAGGTGGTTAAGGTTGGAAAATAAGGTAGCAAAGGTTGAAAATTGTGTATAGTAATACATAAAAGTGTAAAAATATGAAAATATATAATTCTTTCACTTAATATTTTTTTTCCTTATCTACTTTTATAATATGAGAAATGCCTAGAATAATTTTTTAAACAAAATGCTACCAATCTAGTCAAGGTAATTTTGACTTTTGCCAAATTGATGCACAAAACTTAACTATTGAGGAACGACTTACAAGCATGTTTAATCTTGTGAAAATTTCTCCAAAATAACATGAAAATGGCCTCCTAGTTCACATGATTGACCACCTAGAGTTACTTCATAAGTTCTTATTAAGGTTAATGTGCATGTAACCAGGAATTAGAAAATCTAAAAAAGAAATTCAAAACTAGTATGAAACGAGAGTGGAATTAAAGATGAACCTGCTGTCACACATGATCATGATTTAAAAAAATATTAAAAGATGTTAAATATACTCTGTTAGAATCAGAAAACATTACAAGATGTTAAATATACTCTATTATGGGAAGTATGATAAATTATTTTTTCTTAGCACCTGAATCGTACCATAAAATTTAGATAGAGAATATACAGTGAGAATTTTTAGTAAAACAAACATTTAAAGGATAATTTGTAGAGATTTTGTTAAGAAAAGAAGATATATGAAATTTTAGAGGGGCAAAATAAAAAACTAAAAATCTAAATTTCAGACTTATGAATGTGGACAACTTCCCCTCTTGAATCCCCCAAAATAAAAAAGTTCAAGCTTAGCTTCCGCAAGTGGGTCATGAACATAATCTTTAAATTGTTTTTTTAAATACTAATAGAAGTGGGTTGATTTTTTGACTTTTTGATTTTTTTTGACTATTTTAGCCTGGACTAAAAAACTTGATTTGGGAAGGACTTTTTGACTTTTTAGTTTTTTTGACTTTTTTTGTGAGAGAAGAGTGTAATGATTATGGGTTAGATGTAATGTTTTGTTTTTTGTGACTAAAATAACATATTTTTTCTTTTGTGGCTAAAATAGCCAAAAAAGCCCAATTTAGCTCTTCCCAAATGGAGCCATAATATAACAGTTCAAATCTCCAAAATTTGAAAAAGAAAAAGAAAAAGAAAAAAGAAGTGATTTACTTATATTGTGTTTGGTTGAGGGATTTGAGAATGAATTCAAAAAGAGAAATGAAAAAAGTAGGTGAAATGTAAATAAAATATACCTACATTTCACCTAATTTCATACATATTTTTTCTTTTTTATTTTAAATCTCTGTTTAAATCCTCAAATCAAATACAACGTTAAAGATGATTTTATTTTATAACATGTGAGAACACTCCAAAAAATGAAAAAAAAAAAATTAAAAAAAATTGAGCAATATTCGTTTGGGGACTTACTTTTTTAGCCAATTAGCCAAAAAGTTACTAAATTAGCCAAAAAAGCCAACAACTCATACCAAAAAGTCAAAGATTCTCTTTTCTCTCTACTTTTTGCACATCTTTTCGTAATTAGCCAAAAAGTCATCCCAAACATACAAGTTTTTTTTACCTACCTTTTTAGCCAAATAGCCAAAAAGTTACTAAATTAGCCTGTTCCCAAACGAGGCCTTAAAACGTGAACAAGGATTATGATGTCACTCAATTATATTTCGTCTCATAATATTCTAGAAATTTTGGGGTGAATAGACAAAAGATAACATCAAATTCTTAGGGCTAGTTTGGCATGTACTAAATAAGTCAAAAAGTCAAAAAGTCACTATCTTATTTAAGTCACATCATCTTATTTAAATCACATCACCTCTCTAACACATCACATCAAACACAACCCAAACTCAATCCAAACCCACAAATAAGTCAAAAAATGCACTTTTTTAGGACATCCCAAACCAACCCTTAGTGGTCCCAAAATATACATAGGGAGAGAGAGAGAGAGAGAGAGAGAGAGAGAGAGAGAGAGAGAGAGAGAGAGAGGGGAAAAAAATAAAAAACAAATATGTGGTCGTCTTTTGAAACAACGAAGGTTTTGTCAGACTTGATGTTTTTGCCATACAAATCTTATCTTTCTATTCACCCCAAAAATCTTATCTTCCTGTCTGATGTAGCGGAGTTAGGGGTATTTTAGGGATTTAAGATCTCGTTTGGCATTTCATAATTTTAACTTAAAAATTAAAAAGTCATTAAAAAATTTATCATTTTATCCTACAAACTTATTTATAAGGAAAATATTTGAGGGTCATAATTTTTGTGGCCACAATGACTTAAAACTGTCAAAACGACGTCGTTTTGGATGCAAAACATGTAAAAATGACATCGTTTTGACAGTTTTAAGCCATTGTGACTGCAAAAATTATGACCCTTTAGCATTGTTGTATTTATAATTTGAAATCACGTGGGTGTGATAAAATCCTACCATCCATGATTTTAGCCTAAAAATAATAATGCCTACGTTTGGCAAGATGGGTTTAGAGTTTTTTTTGTTAAAATAATTACAAAAAGTAAAATAATTTTTTTAATCCAATCATATCTAACATATAATTATCACACTTTTTCTCTTACAAAAAATTCAAAAAAATCAAAAAAAAATTTCAAATTAAATTTTTTAGCCTTAGATTAAAATAGCAAAAAACACTAACCAATACTGATGAGGATTTTTTTCAAATAAAAAAATAGCCAAGTCCCACATGGTCTAGTCTCGACAACCCACTGACTCCCACAGCCA